ATATATATATATATATATATATATATATATATATATATATAACGAGATTATCCCGTTCAAAATGGGACGTATGGGCACCTTATATTTAAGCTGCCGTTGTCAAAGTCATCTCTGAGTACCTTCATTTCTCGTCATTGATTCTTTTGGAAAACTTGTAACCAGGAACCATTGTTCATGTATCTAATAAAAGAGGAACCTTGCGTAGGCGCTGTTGGGTTACGGAGACGAGAAGGCGCCCAGCTGGGAGTGCGGAGGCTCGCTCATTAGTGAACGCTTCGTGCTCACCTCCGCCAACTGCATATCTTCCGAAAAGTGAGTATACAAATGGACTGGGCCGCACACTTCGAAATGATTTTCTTTTTCGGCGGTTTAAAATACAATTGCCCGCATACGAAAAATAAATGAATTTTTGGGGCATTAATGATGCTATTATTGTAGCTTAACACTCAGAATTCAAATTTATAATTTACTCGTTTGGTCATTGAAATGTTTCCATGATCTTTAGGCAAATCAAGATTTATGTAAGGGGATGGTTAATCCGAGTTGTTGGAAATGAAATAAACTCCTTCGAAACTCAATAATGACTATACACATTCAACGGTAAAAACGTAACTGAACACCTCACAAAATGATTCCTTAACAAGTGTCACACACGCTGCTCACAACTCTGTAACTCATTAGCATTTTTACAAAAACCAGTTTTCAAAAAAGCTTCAACATCGTAATACTAGTATATTTGTAAAGTACAAACGTTCTTTACATACAAAGATTATAAAGTTTCTTAACGCAGCACTTGATCAGCAATTATTTAACGGCGACGACCACTTTCTTGAAACCTTGTCTCACGACCTCGACTGTGCCGTAAGCAAAAACACACAATAACACACAATGAGTATTCAGGAGATACGCGAATTTTAGAATTCGTGGAATAACACAATCAAATATTTTCATTTTTCATTCATAATCTAAACTGTTTCATTGTTTTGGTTTTGGGATTTTTCCCGAATGTCTGAGTATCCAACGAAACTACAGACCCCTCTCTCATGACTGGAGGCTGGATTGTTTTCTCGACACCTGCCACATTGATTCGGGAATATCTATTTTGGAGAAAAACTGCTGAACGGTTTAAGCACTGGCGTTGAACATAGACGGACAGAGAGGGACGGACAGACACCAGACGTTTTGTAGTCAGTTTTTCGGCACCAAGTATCCCCAAAACATGGATCCTGGCTACACAACGTATTAGGAAATAATTTAGTATATACAGGGGCAAGATTTATCCACGTTTTCGTTACCAGGGTCGGGGAATAACATTTTTTCTGTCAAAATTTTGCTGTGTTTTCACACAGCATTTGAATACTTTCTCTAAACTGCGTAGGCAGTAGCAAGAAAATAAAATATTAATATACTGTATGTTGAAGTTTGATCGTTTGTGTTCTTTTTTGGTGTGTGTCACAATGGCGTCACAACTTCTTCTTAATTATGCAGAGGCATTCCGAAGATAGTGCGCCTCGGTGAGCGTGATCTGAACACCACCGACGAAATCAATGAGCACGAGGACTATAAGGTGGCGGAGGCCATCTTGCATCCCGAGTTCGAGAACGGGGTCTTGTACAACGACATCGCGCTGCTACGTCTGGCCAAAGATGTCGCTTTCACGGCGTCAATTCGGCCCGCGTGCCTACACACGCAGAAGGACATCCAAGCCCAAAGAACCATCATATCCGGCTGGGGCCCCGGAGACTGGAGTGAGTGGTCAATCATTTGAAAAAGGAAAATCCGTATTCTATTTTACATTCGCATTGGTTCAGTCTTCTGTTCCCTACCACACATTTTAACATTAATCAGTGATGGAGTGTTTATCAGAGAAGCTCCTGTCGGTATGATCTTCAATCTCTCGAGCGCGTTTGATCTACGTGATTATGGCAGTTTACATAAGAAATTAGCTTTAAATGGAATTCGAAGAAATGTTCATGCTTGGCTATCTTTGCACTTTAGCAGAAAGTCAAAATCAGTGCGAAGGTAATTTTTTGTCACCGACACACATTAATTTCTCAACTATCAAATTCAGTGCCAGTTCAGTATGAAGTCTTGCAATGATTTATCGCGGACTGCCATTTTCCTTGTTTATTCTCCTGAGTAACACGCCAATTCAATCAATCGGTTTCGTCTAATATCACAGAAATCTTGATAGAGAATGTTGAGACACATTTGGTTTTCCTTCGGACACTAATTAAAGCATTACGTCTCCCTTATTACTGGGTGCTTTACTTATTGACGTATTATATTTTTACGAAATAACGGTTAGAATCTAAATGCATGTCAATTTGATACCTAGTATTATAATATAACTCTCAATATATTATGAAGTGACTTTTTATTACAAAACCACACCATGTTTGTCACATTAAAACAGAAATTTTGCTACCACTCATTATTCTAGAAAAAAACTGAAATAAAAATAATTCTAATATCTTTTGATCAGTACTCGTCCATTCGCAATCAGTTCAGGAAATAATTTTTGAATATACAACTCCCTTAAAGTTCGAATTTTAGATTTGGAGTGATTATGCAGTTCATTTTATTTCAACTATACAAGAAGACAAAAAGAAAAAGTTAAATAATCTTGTTCCTTCCTGTAGCTATTCACGAAATATCCACCCAATTACGAAAGGCAAACATGCCCATCAGAGCGACTGAAGATTGCAAAAAAGCATTCAGAAATCTTGCAACCACAAACCGCTTGGCAAATGGGATCGAGGAAGATACTATGGTGTGTGCAGGAACGGAGAGAGGCAAACAAGATGGTTGTAAGGTAAGGTTATTAATTTATTAATATGTGTGTTACAAGGTTTTTTACAAAATTCTTTCGTTAATTTAAATGATAATATGCGTGACAAATTATATGGTACAAAGAGGCATGATAGTTTAAACAATATTGGAAATATTGTTCAATTACCTATTATTTTTAACAATTTTATTGTTTTAAAAATCAAGATATGAGTTTCGTTTTTTTTATTGTCATCTCTAGACGATGAAATTCCGATTGCTTGCATCAACTATCAAGTAATGTGGTATATACTATGCATATGCGAAGTTGCTTTACGAAGTGGCTTGTCCTATAGTACACGTGTTGGTTAATAGTGAGGCTATCGAAGAGGGAATAGAGAAGCTCTCCTAAGAAGACTATTGAAATGTCTTCCGACTTGAAGTCCGCGAGTGGCTCCCGTTGCAGGGATGTTAAAATCGTAATGTAGGCAACTGGTAGAATCGAATGTACCTGTAAGTTTCCGGTCAATGCTTTCCTGTCATTTTTTCTTCCGAATCCCTTTACACACAGGGTTTACTGAAGTGCTGTGATTCAAACTATTTTGGTTGCCCTCATTTATTTCGACGGTGCAGGTCCCACTGTAGCCTGATGATTTGTGAAATGTATCACCTTTCTTCTGAAGCGACAATATATTCTACTTTGTTAAGCAGGTCCCGTGGCATACATCACTTGCATCTAGAACGTAATTATAATAATCTGATTCATTAAAGAGATGGTTATAACAATCTGATTTGAGATGTAAACGAATAGGTATACTAAAATTATTCAATTCAATCTAATGAACTTCTTACACTGAAGAGCCAAACAAACTGGTACACCTGCCTAATATCGTGCAGGGCCCCCGCGAGCACGCAAAAGTGACGCAACACGATGTATTGTCTCCACTAATATCTGAAGTACTGCTGGAGGTAACTGACACTATTAATCCTGTAGGGTAGTCCATAAACTCGTAAGAGAACGAGGGGTGGAGATCTCTTCTGAACAGCACGTTGTAAGGCATCCAAGACTTGCTAAATAATGTTCACGTCTGTGGCTGTGGATTTTGGTGGCCAGTGAAAGTGATTAAATTCAGATGAGTGTTCCTGGAGCCTCTCTGCAGCAATTCTGGATGTGTGGGATGTCACAATGTCCTGCTAGAATTGGCCAAATCGGGATGCACAGTGGACATGTGTGGGAGCAAGTTATCAGACAGGATGCTTACGTACGTGTCACCTCTCAGAGTCATATCTAAACGTATCAGTGATCCCATATTACTCCTACTATAAATTACGTGCAATCATTACTACGTGCAATCATCAAGGGTACACGAATGGGCCTTCGGCTCCAAAACCCCACATCAAAAATGTCTCGTAGAATAGCTCCCACGCTGCCACATGTTGATGGCCCAGCATTGAAATCTGCAGCAATTCGCGAAAGGGTTGCACTTCTGTCACGTGTAATGATTCTCCTCAGTCGTCGTCGGTCCCGTTCTTACACGATCTTTTTGCTTACGCAGCAATATCGGAGGTTTGATGTTTAACCGGATTCCTGATATTCACAGTACACTCGTAAAATGGTTGTACGAGAAAATCCAAATTTCATCGCGACCTCGGAGATGCTATGCCCCATGTCTCTTGCGCCGACTATAACATCGCGTTCAAACTCACTTAAATCGTGATGGTAGCAGTAGTAACCAATCTAACAGCTGTGCTTGAATCTTAATCTTATATAGTCATTGCAAACCGGAGTCTGATTGGCGTATTTTGAGCGACGTATTCCGTTTGGTTCTGGATCTCTTTATTTCAATACGCATGGCTTTTTTTTGGCTCTTCGATGTATTTTACGCGGCGAGTCTCAGGCAATCAGAGCTGCTCTTCCCCCAGGACATGCAAATTTTGCTACGCTCTTTTCATCTAGCAGCAAAAGAAGGTATTACTTGGGCAACGAAGCAGGCGATTAGAATTTAGCTTAGAGGCGAAGCTCGCATAAAAAGCTTAACACGGCTTGAGGATATTCAGTCTACAAGCAGTAAATCTACAACATAGTCAGCCGATTTTATTTCTACTCCGAAGGAAAGTTTATGAAGGATTTGCTTGCCATTAAAAATACACTGCTATAATCCGATTTGAACCCGCGAACTTAACATAACGGGCATAACAAACAGTCCGATACGCTAACCTCTACACTGAAGCTGCTAAATTTAAACAATTACGACAATCATCTTCTGACAACCAAGCAGCCAGCCAGCGAATGCCTGCGTGAGGGAGAGAGAGGCCTTTCCACTTTGGATATGTGAATGGCCCTGCTCTACGCATGCTTTGTTGCAGGGTGACGCAGGCGGACCACTGCAGGTGCCACTAAGCTCCCCCTACTGCATGTACAGCGTGGTGGGCGTCTATTCCTTCGGCAAAGGCACCTGCGTCGCCCCGTTCGTCTACACACGCGTCTCCCACTTCGTGCCGTGGATCGAGAGTGTTGTGTGGCCCAACGAGAAATGAAAATAACTCAAAAGTGTTAAAAATACTGTTTAAATATAACGTAAATTGTAACATATTTCTGATGCAAGAAGAAAATTTAACTTATTTATTTTAATTGAGAAACTCAAAGAAATAAAATGTGTACTAAAAATGTTAGCTTTCCTTTTTCCACCTTGTGTATTTCCCTTTCAGGATGATCCCCTAAACAAGTTGTTTTTTGAACAATAAATAACTATAAACGTGTTATAACGATTTGTGACAGCCTATTATTGCTTATAATTGAGGTTCTGGGAAACAAAGTGATTTAAGTGATATTAAAAAATCCTCCTTTTAAATCGTGTGAATTGTAAAAGTAGCTTCATGTTAGAATAATTCGATAATTCACCTTCGATAATTTCTGACCACTCTTATTGCGGGGTGGGGGATACTCTACAAAATGTAGTAGAATGTGAAAAAATATTTCGTAGATTACTTCGCAAGAAACATAACTCATGAGGCGTAAAACAGGGATTTTTGAGCAAAGAACGCTTCGTTTCAGTGTGTTTCCAACGATGTGATGCTTGTTTCACTGTGGTAATAAGGCGTGCTGCAGCCCAACTATTTACCTTCCATAACTATGAAATTCTAAACTTTGGACTGAACCGTATTTCTCCATCTAGGTGTAGTACATTTACGAAGTTTTATGTCAATGGTGTCTACAAATAGGAAAAACCGTTATCTTCCTTTGGCGTATTGTAAACAGAAAAGGCATTTCAAATCAACTGAGTTATTTCTGTTCAAATAAAAAATAAATTTAGATAAATTAAGCAGTCCGATCTGTTCATTGTTGTCTTCCTTTCTATTACAATGGATAACATGTTTTGACTGAGAGACACACAAATTGAAATGTGCTTTTTACAGACTGTTGGTAGTTTTCTTGTGTTCAAGATTAATTCATTCACTACAACGGAGACAAGTAATGTGGTTCTTATGTATTTAGATAAACTATAATCGTGTATTAACATACATAAACTTCGACAATCTAACCATATCAGAGTATGGCGACAGCGTCTCGACCTGACGGCCATGCGCTCGGGAGACGAAAGGTAAGAAGGTCCCAACCTCATTACGCCGTATATTAATAATAATAATAATAATAATAATAATAATAATAATAATAATAATAATAATAATAATAATGTCTTTATTAATGGCGTGGCTCAGGCCATAGGGCCTGCTCTTCCGCCTAACCACTGAATTTACATACATTTAGAGTAGTAACATTTTAAGAGGGGAGGACAAGCTGTACATTTACGGCATTCTCCACCCGCGAGATGGTTTCACCTTCTCAATACACTGAAGAAAAAAATGATATCACAAATCACAACAAGGTTTCAATAGTAACAGAAAACCTTCTCAGGCGAAACGGAAACCTTGTTGCTTCATTCCATTTCCTGGTTGGGCCAGCAGCATCTTCTGCCCCAAGTAGGCGAAATTAAAAGAGCAAATGATGGAGGGGAAGTATTGTAACAAATAAGACTACAAGCCGTCGCGTTGGGGGAAGCTGTGTGTCTCGTCACAGGGAAATGACTACATTCGGCGTAAAATACTACAAGTTCGCGTAATGTGCCGCGGAAACTTCTGTCGGCCCGACACGCAATGGGGTGGTGCGCAGCGACTCAGCTTTCGTGGGCGCGCGTAAGGCTCGAAGCCAGCACAGCAGAGCTGTCCATCGTTCCAAGATGAGAGATGTCTACGCCTCTCTCTGTGTCAACAGAACTACGTATATCCCATTCCCACCCAGATGCCGAACGCCCGACATCACGATGTGTGCTGCCAAATCAAACAGTTTTACGTATTTTATATTTCAGCGGTTGAAAGTTTTTGAAAATATCCTAGAGTGTTTGTCTAAATTTAAAGTATCCCCAGAAAATAAATGATGCAACTCTAGATCGCCATATTCGATTTCTGTCATATTGAAGGAGCAATTCATTTTGTGGAATGTCGTGGACACGGTTTAGTCACTAGCGATTTTCACAAATAGACGATTTAAAAATACAATTTTTGGTATCATTAGCCCCTGAACTACAATTGTAATACACGTATAAAAACAAAATAGCCCAATGTTATTGAACTACATTACTAATAGGCGTTATAGGGTAAAGATAAAACAATTTTACGTGGATAATTCAAAGAAATAAAAAATAACTTTTCTCTCAACATTTTATTGACATCAAAGAACTTATGTATTCAGTGGAACAAATATCAATTAATCTTAAGAATTGAAGTTTTTATTTTTTAACTTCGTATAGTTTGGTTATTTATTGACTATAGAAATAAAACACATACGCGCTCTTTAGTCGTCAAATTTATCAGGTACTAGTACTGTGATAGATTATCGCAAGAATATAGAAACAGGAGCAATTAATTAATATAAACATAAATACGAACAATAACAACGATGGGGAGGAAAGAGAAACAAGAAAGTGAAATGTAATTTAAAAGAATACAAGGCAGGGTCAACAGACTTAATAGTGGGGAGAGTATAGAATACGCGTGGTAAACAAAACAGTTAAAAGGATATGTGAGAAAATTCCGTGCGTGAGAAAATAAATTAAGAAAATTCATACGAACAAGAATTAGAGAATAAATAGACACGGCGCTAAAGTGCGAATGACCGATCAGGAATTGGATCGTATGCGTGATACCGCATGGCCGGCTCACTAGAACGAACAATTTCGAGCAGACAGGAGACAGCTGAATATTTCGTAACATAAACAATCGGGGGCAGATGACGCTTGGACGTGGTAGTGCTCGGAAGAGAGAGGCTATTCTGACGCGGTAAGAGTCGGACGTAAAGACCAGATGTTACGAGTCAGTAATACGTTTTTAATGAGTAATGAGAAGACAAATGTATAATTAGACAGGGAAGATAATATCGTGTCTGCAGGACGTAAATACTATTGAAGTGGACCAAGTTCAACGAAAATGAAACTTAAATGGAGACATAACAACGATCAAGAATGCAATGGCTCTACGAAAAGAATGCATTCAAATGAGAGGGATCTAGAAAGAATATTATAAAATGACAATAAAGGGGCTTTGAATTACGAGAGGGTTTTGAAGGAGAGTTGAATTACGAGATAATCGTCATCTATCCCAATCACGGCCTTGAACGGTTGTCAAATAGTGATCATATCAACCAGGAGACAACACAGTCACATTAAAAGTTGATTTTTGATCAGTGAGACTTGAATCTTCACAAAACTCATCAACGAAACATTTTACTTTACTGGCTTTCTTTTAAAAAACTGAATCCATATTCCTCATGTTTTTGACTTTCCCTTCTAATAAATCAATTGATAAATTGAAATATCCTTGAAGACCACTTATCTTTAAAAGATAATTCAAAAGCTCACAGACTGCAGTTATATTTATAAATTTTGCTTGTAAAGGTTTTGATGCAATACTCGTTCGGAATGTTGACCTGCAGCCAAACATCTTAAGTATTTGAATGTTACTTTGAAGTTAGCATCTTGGTATTTTCAAACAATTGATATAAATTGCGAAAAATTTCTCAAATTTTTCCAACGTATAATGCCAAGTCGAAAAAAGATAACATTTTCAATAAAATCAAGGAATTGTCTTATTTTCTGATTGATCTCTACTCCATCTTTAAAAATTAAACTCACATGGTTGGCGCAATAGGCAAAACAATAATGGAATATCATTTGTTTCATTATTTTTCTAATCTTAATGTATGCCAAACAGTGTAATGTATATATTTTGAAAAAAAATTCCAAACATATTTTTATCTTGCTCAAAACATATAGAAAATAATTCATAGTTTAATAATGCTATTACAAATACTAATACAAAGTAAATTGTGACGATGTAATGAGTCTATGACAGCTTCAATGTGGACCCTCTGGTATAATTTGTAAAAGAAATTACTCAGATTTTTCGAATTCTTCAACTCAGTTTTTTTTATTAAATGCAGTGTTCAGCAGAGTTTAGAGCAGAAAGTGCCGTGTAAACCTCCAAGCATTTAGGGCAAAATTTATGAAACGTTTTGACTATTGAATCCATTTTTTCTAAAGAAAATTATTTCAAAATTTAAAATAATTATAATTCATATTACCTCTCAAAACTGAAAAACTACATTTTTGAAACATTTTTCAGTTATTTCCTTTCATAGTGGGTGCTCTTTGGCGTAGCAGGAAAGAAAATTAGTTAATTAAAGAGAAGTGAGACATTCTCGGGAGAAACCCTTCAGTTCATTAAAAGGCAACTGTTGAACAGGTCGCCTGGACTCTGGTCTTCGAACTTATGTCTTTGTCTGGTGGTATCCTAGAATTGTGTGATTCGTTTACTTCACACATGATAGAACGTGTATCGTGTTGAACCATTCTAGGGGTAAGCATTCCGGTGGAGAGGTCAGCTGAAAGTGCACACCCAAAGCTGATTGTCACTATTCCTTTTCCTAATAGAGGCTCCACGTGTAGGTTCCCCATGGCACTCTTTGGCATCGCAGAAGCTCTATGACTCTTCGCTCGGCTCTCCTCGTACGTAACGCCTTGAACCACCGCAGTCAATGGTCTGCCGAGGGGATCCCCCTGCCGAGGTTTACAAGGAAAGTCAGTCCTAAGAGGAAAGAACGCGCAACCTTCCGTAAGATATTTCAGAGATGCAGGAGGAGGATGGCATTTATGTGCAGTGAATAATCAACCAAACCATGTTACCCACTCTACATTAAAAGGAAGAATCCGAAAATCTGAAAGGACAAAACTAGTGGGGCTGTATCAGATACTTTCTCATATTATTCGTAATCTTGCAATGTTCGAAAATTGAGAGAGTTCAATGGCAGTGGAATCATTTCTATTTTTATAAGAGAACTTTTTTTACGTTCGAGAAAATATAAAAAAAAGAAATTTGTTGTAAAAAATTAAGTCCAAGTAAGACAAATATTTCTATCGCCAGTATTGTACTTTTGCATCGTTAATTTTTACAATTTCCAAAAATACAGAAAATAGGATCAGCGCAATTTTTTACCGTCGTTTGCTATATACGAGGAGAAAAAAATAAAAAAATTGCAGTAATTTTTGAGAACATAATAGTTTTAAAATTGACGATATTTCACTCACAATTACATGAATACTACTGAAATTTTCGG